AGGGATTATGAAGATTCAACTACTTGAAGCAAAGGTCTCAGTGAATAGTAAAAATTTAAGCGCAGGAAGTCACAGTGCGTAAAGGGTAAAATGAGGTCTAGGGTCTCTATTTATAGAAAACGTATGGGACCCATCACTTACCTACCAGCACGGCCGCGCAGAAATGGACGTGGACCGCGCTGGATTTCATTCCTTCACATTAAACTGAGCTGCCCACGTGGACCACACTGTTTTGTTACGCGGCCACGTGGGAAACTTCAGAGAGCATAAACATTTGGGCCTTCCCAAGTCACATAGGGCCTTAGCAAACTCCGCACTCCCGATAGTGCAAGGAATAGTGAAAGCTCCAAGGTCTTCTAGTTTCGGGGCCATAGAATGCACAATCGCACTAACTTGGTGCGTCATCTTTATTGTTTCACACTCCATAGAACGCTTCTTGGTGACTAAATCCTTCATAAATTTTGCGTACCCAGGCATTTGTTCAAGCGCCTCCGCTAAAGGAACATTAATTGTGAGGCTCTTCATCATGTCTATGAATTTCTTGAACTGATTGTCGTTCTTTTGCTTTGCTAACTGCTGAGGATATGGTGGAGGTGGTCTAGGCAAGGGTGCCTTGGCCTTGGGCACCGCCGGTTCGGGTATATCAGTAATGTGTTCCCTAGACGGGTTCACGACATCTTGAGTCTCTACCCCGGCCTCATCATCAATATCAATCCCCACATCATTTGTCACTATTGGTTCAACCACATTGTCAACATTCAAAGGTACATCATCATCATGCAACTCAACTTCATCATTCACAACCTGATTCTCATCCGAGGCATGCACATCACCGCCTCTTCCACTCCTAGTTGTAACCGCCAACACATGATTGTTACCCCCCTTCGGGTTCACTACCGTGTCACTTGGTAGCGCACCTTTAGGTCGGGTATTTAAAGCTTGAGAAATTTGTCCTATTTGCACCTCTAGGTTCTGGATAGATGTGTTATGTGAAGCCAATTGTGCGTCAGAATCTTGGTTCTTTTTCATCATCTGCTCGAACATCATTTCTATCCGTCCTATATCACTTCCGGAAGAACTAGACCCTTGTGACTGAAATGGGGGTGGATTGTTTGGTTGTTGGAACATGGGGGGCCTTTAACCACCACCATCATTGTTGTTGTCAAACTGCTCACCATTACCTTGAGGTTGTTGTTGCCCTCTTTGCCTCCTTTTCAGCATAGAAACATTCTCCATTGCATTGACTTGGCGCGGATTTTGTACTTGTTGCAATTGCGCCTTCGCCAACTGATTCATTGTTGTTGTAAGTTCGACAATAGCTTGGCCATGGTCATTCAACTCCTTGTGCAAATGAATGACCGTGGGGTCACCTTGGGGTACATTCGCTCGGCTTTGCCAAGCCAAAGAGGTGTCGGACATTTCATCAAGTACGTCACATGCCTCTTGGTAAGAATGTTTCATAAAGTTCCCACCAGCCAATTGGTTCACAATGCACTGATTCGTGGTGTTGATGCCCCTATAAAAAGTCTGCTGGAACATCGCCTCAGTCATGTCGTTGTTAGGGCACTCCTTCACCATTGTTCTATATCGCTCCCAAATCTCGTGCAATGGTTCCGTTGGCATTTGCTTGAAAGCTAGAATCTCGTCCCGAAGAGCCGCCATATGACTTGGAGAAAAGAACTTGGCAATAAATTTGTGTGCCAATTCATCCCATGTGGTGATAGAATGATTTGGTAACCTTTCTAACCAGTCCAACGCTTTGCCCCGAAGAGAAAACGGGAAAAGCCTCAATCGCAACGCATCCTCTGACACGTTTGTTTGTTTGCTGCCCCAGCAAGTATCTACGAACCCCTTCAAGTGCTTGTATGCATTTTGGTTAGAGGCGCCCGTAAAATATCCCCTTTGCTCGAGCAAGGTCAACATGACATTTGTGATTTGAAAGTTCCCCGCCCGGATTCGGGGAGGAACGATGGCACTCGCGTACCCTTGATTAGGAAGAACTCTTGGGACTGCTCTTGGCGGTGGCGGAGGAGGGTCTGGAATAGGATTGTTGTCATTTGCGTTGGCCGGACGACCTCTACGTGGAACTTGAGGTGGTATAACCTCTTCGGGCTCAAGATCCTCTACCTTCTCCCCCGCGTTCGCGTTGCCAAGAGGGTCGTTTGCATTGAGAGCCATAGTACCTGAATGATTGACACAAATAGAATTAGTAAACAAGAAGGAAAGAGAAGCAAAACACAAAACTAACTAAACCGATAGTCAACACCGTAAGCTCCCCGGCAACGGCGCCAAAAAGTTGATCGCGGCCGTCTCAACACTACACAATGGTAGGAAGAGTGGGTAGCAATAACTAATACCCGAATAGTGGATCGGGGTCGAATTTCCACAGAGAGCTTGGAATGGAGTTGTATTGCCTGTTTAGTTTAGAATTGCTTTTGTACTTCCAATTGACTCTCTCGAGACCAATTAGGTAGGCCAATTAGACCGAGCAACTAGGGCTCAAGTAGGGTAGTTACTCTTTCGAGGTTTAACCCGTTAATTGGGACTACCATTCTCATGGGTCCATCCCAATTCCTTGTTGGGTTAACTTTTAGGGTCATATGACTCTCTCTCTCAAGAAGAGTTAGACCCACTAAGCTTGAATTCATGTTTGCAACCACAAATTCTAGATTGAAACACAAAATCAACCCAAATAACAAATACCCAATCTCAATCTCACCCTAGAATGCAACACCCATTAACTACCCACACTAGGGTTGAGCCACAACCCTAGCTAATGGGTTTAGCTAGACATAATTAAAGAAGAAACAGTAGAAATAGATGATGAAATGAACATAATAATTGATTACTACTTAAAATCTATGATATTCAAGAGTAAAATTGCCAAAATAGGCTACAAAATACTTCTCACGAGCGCATCTCTTGTTCAACAGCTAAAACATAACCTAAAAATATTAAAAAGATCTATTTATACCGAGCTAGAAAATCTGGACAAAAATGCCCCTGCGAGGTAGGCGCGGACTGCGCAAAAAGGGAGTGCGACCGCGTTTGCTCTTGGACTCTTGAACTCTGTTCTCTGAAGTTGGGACCGTAGACCGCGCAAACATGTAGCGCAGCCGCGTTTCAGGACAGGCGCGGACCGCGTAAAAAGGAGCGCGGACCGCGCAGGATGCCCTTGAATGAACCAGTCTCTGAAGAAGAAGAAAATCACTTGTTTGTGGCAAATGCCCAAGTCGCCAATGAAGAAGAAGAAAATCACTTGTTTGTGGCAACTATTCTTTCAACCAAAAAATCTGATTTTTGGTTGATTGATAGTGGTTGTACAAACCACATGACATATGACAGAAATCTTTTCAAAGAGTTCACGTCTATAGGAAATAAGAAAGTCAGAATTGAAAATGGTGATTATGTTCTTGCTAAAGGAAAAGGAACTGTTGCAATCCCAACAAATTCAGGTACTAAGAAAATTTCAGATGTTCTTTATGTTCCTGATATTGATCAAAATTTATTAAGTGTTGGACAACTAATGGAAAAAGGATCTAAAGTATCTTTTGAAGATAAATATTGTTTCTTTATGATGCAATTGGACTTGAGATTTTAAGGGTTAAAATGAGAGGTAAAAACTTCTCATTTGATCCAACCGAAGATGAAGAACGGAGCCAAAAGAATCTAGAAAGTGCAGATAATTCTCCAACTGAGGACATATGTAAAAATAAGGTAAGGAAGAAGTTGTCAATATTTCAGAAAATGTAAATCTGGAAGAAAGTTGACAAGTCTCAAGGCAAGATGCAAATGAAGCTGAAAAACGAGCCAACTTATTTCATTGACAATCATGAGATACAGCAAAATACAGAAGTGAACTCGATTCACTGCAAGTCCAAAGATCAGTTGGCAGATTTACGTACAAAGTCGCTTCTAGTTAAAGGTTTACAAAGCACAAATTCAGAATTTGCACCTTCAAAAGCAAGGAGGAGTGTTAGAAATATGCTTTAGAAGCTGCTCTTAGTAAAATTATTTTACTGTTTCAGCTTAAGAGTTATTTACTGCAGTAATTTATTTTAAATTTGAAATAATTTTGAACTAGTCTTTACGAGTGAACTAGTCTTTAGGAGTTTGTTATTTTCAGCACATTTTGTGCTGATTTTTAGGTCTTTTAAGTTAGCATTTATCTTTTAAATTGTAGTCCATATGCAGTGAAATAATATAGAATTTTCAGCTTCAGTTCCTTTTACATCTATTCCAGTATATTCTTTTTATTTTTCTGTCATCTTCCCCTGTTATTTCCCTTAATTTCTTTTATCAAGAACCAACAGTTATTCATTTTTGCGACCAAATTATTTGTTATTTGTTCACCTATTTCATGACCTTTTTATAATTTGTTTGTAGAAGCAAACTCGACAATAGACCAATTGCTACCTCTAACTTTTGCGATATATTGGTTTAGACCTCATTAGATAACTACGGTAATTTTTATAAATTCTATCTATTTCTACCTTTTTTATATTTTATTTAATGATATGAGCTTTCATATTAAAATTTAAGCACAGGAGGAAGTTCAAGAAAAAGGTTATTATGTCCTGGGGCGCATTTAGGCCCCAATCATGAGGTACGTGGATCTAATATTATTTGGTGACCCCTTGCTTTAAAATGGTGATTAAATATTGAGTAATTTACCCAAAGGAAGAACAATTCCCACTAAATTGGAAGCTGCTCAATAATTGTTCTTTCTTTTTTTTTTTTGTATCTGCCCTGAGAGAGATTTTCTGGAAGAGAGTCGCTGTGAGAAATACAAACAAAAACATGACAAATTTTATTAAGACAACAGAGAGAACCCAAAGATGAGGCTCTCGAGTTATATTTATGAATAAAGGAAAACACAATTATAGATTAAGCACTTATGCATGCACATTATTCATCAAATCATACGACTAGAAATACTCTAGAGGGAGTGCAATGCATATATATAGCACTGTTGAAACCAGAAATGAAGAACACGATTTCTACTGAACGTTGACGTTCAATCTAAGATTTGAATTGCAGTCGTTGAGCTTAGAAGAGGTGAAATAGTAATCTTTAGCCGCTTCTAAAGTAAAAGTAGTCTTTCCACTATCATCACTGTACAAAATATCAGTCAGACTGCAAGAGCCAAAGGCTGAGGCATCGATTTCAGCGACGTTGTGTGTTGCTCCATTATAGTTGAACACTGCATGTACAGATTTTTCAAAACACGCGCACAGAAATAAACAGTTAGCTCAACCTCTGTCAAGAAATAGGCTAGCTACAGCTTCGAATTATATATTACTATCAAACTACTTTTAATGATTTTCAAGGGAACAAGTTACATGTATTTGGCCAGTCGATTAAAAATAATTATATTTGCTGGCCAAATATACAAACAAAATGCATTGATTATGTATAAAATATTGTTCACTAATATACAAAAAAATATAATTTGCCGGTAATTATTTTCAAGAACGGCTATACAGTATAATTATATTTTCCCACATGAAATGAAGCGTAACTTACCAAGTGTATCTAGGGGTGTGCATTCGAATCGTTTTCGATAAATCGAATCGATTATTTGTTATCGATTTATCGATTTCGATTTCGATTTCGAAATTTTCCTTATCGAGTTATCTATTTCGATTTCGATTTTGTCCTCTTCGGTTTATCGGTTTATCGATAAACCGATAAGAAATACAAAAAAAAAATTAATTTTTTTTACTTTTTTTTTTTAGTTTTTTTTTTGTCCCTTATTCTATAATACCCTTTCCTTTACCCTAAGTCCCTAACCCTATTATTTCATCTACCACATTTAAGGAATGATCATATTTAAAGCTCAAGGGAATGAAGTTCAAATTAATGGAAAATAGAATTAGCCGTGATGATGTATTTTTTTATACTGTTGGAGTGTTGGTGGCATACATTTGATCCCTTACTTTGGTTTCGTTGCATGCGCTTGTTGACATAATTTTTATGTTATAAACGGTGTTCGTCTTATTTTAGCTTCTTTTGGTCCATATTAGTTAGGCGTGTTTATAGTGATATACTTTCCGTGGAATCCCGCAAATTTTCTTATTGGTGTAATCGATAACCGAATCGATAAGCCCCAAAAATCGATAAATCGAAATCGAAAAAATCGAAACCTTATTGAAATGATAACGATAAGCATATGTACAAATCGATAATTGATAAGTAATTATCGATAAGGGTCAAAATCGAATCGATAAATCGAATGCACACCCCTAAGTGTATCGCCAACCTTAAAGTCCTTTCCATTAGCCCATGCATTATAATCAACGAACAATTCCCAGCCAGCTAAATCACCAACTATATGTTCTGTGGCGAAGCTGGGGGCGACAAGCATGCTCACAACAATCACAAACAAGCACAACAACTTGATCGCCATTTCAAAATGTAAAGTTTCTAAGAGAAGATTTGTGATGAGAGAAATTTGAAAAGCACTAAGCTGGGGTGAGTGAAAATCTGAGCATTAGGATTTCTTATATAGAAGTTGAAGTTTCCTTATAACTCCAATATTCTATTATCAAGGTGGTCTATTTTAATTAAAATCCTAGTTTTCTCGAAGATTCCTTCATTAAAAACCATGTGGATGGACTACTAAAATGTTATTCAGCTCAGTTTGCTATTAAATGGCATGTCTTTTTATTAATTATATATTATAGGCAAAATACATAGTTTACCCATTCACCTTGCACCCAAATCCCTGTTATACACCTATTAACCTCGGGTTTAACGTTACACACCAAACCTTTCAAAAGTGTATCAATGACACACCGCTTTTGACCCATAACAGGCGCGTGTTTTACACCAAAAGCAGGCGAGTGAATAATACAATAATGTATCTGAAGCCTCATTTTAGCGTCACATATCTATTTTTTTTCCTTCATTTTTTCCTATCATCATCTTCATTGTCAGGAACATCAAGAACAAGCAACAACAATGGCTAAGAAATTACCTGAATACAAACCAAAAAAAAAAGCCAGAGAAGAAATCGAAGAAGACCCAGCAATGGTTAAGAAACCATTATCTCGATTTCTTGACTCGTAAATCCAAATCATCCCGAATCTGGTTGGTGAAAATTGATTCAAAAATCAACCTAACAAAATCACTGATTCAAGGTGAAACAGTAGATGTTTAGTAATTGTCGGTCTGGTTTTCTCGAGCGTCGGAGGAGTTGAAAAAAGTTAGAGTCGAAATCCATCATCAAAGCTTGTTTAAATGATTGTTTTTTGTTTTTTTCCAGTGCAATTTTGGGTCTAATTGTGTCTTTTTCAGTCTTTTTCTGATCAATCTTTGGTCAAGTTTTCACTGTTTTTATGGCTACTGGTGCATCTGAGAATTTTTGGGAGGATAATAGGAATGGAGGGTGGGTTGGAGGAAGCCGGCGTGCAAGTGATACTGGAGGAGGAGCTAGCCTGGAGGTAGGATTGGGGAAGAGGATAAACCCACGGAGTGGGGGTGTTGAGGAAGACACATAGCTACTTTATTTTATTCTTTTAAAGCTTGTAAATTAGGGTTTATTTTAAGCTGGGTCGGGTTGTTCATTTTTAATGAAAGAATCGCTTGTTTTTAATTTAAATAAGCGCGTGTATACACAACATTGAATATTAACAAGGCTGGTCAAAAGTGGCGTGTCATTGACACACTTTTGAAAGGTTTGGTGTGTAACGTTAAACCCGTGGTCAATAGGTGTGTAACAGGGATTTGCGTGCAAGGTGGATGGGTAAACTATGTATTTTGCTATATTATATATAAAGAACACAAGATCAATTAATATCAAATAATCTTCATCCTTCGGCATTCCCTTCATTTATTTGATCAATTGGTTTATTCTAGCATTTAAAAGATAATTTTTGCATTTCTGTGGGTAAAAATATGAATATATGATATCTTCTGAGGTGCAGATGTCTTCACAATATTTACTGTTTCCTAAACTGAAACGTATCAATTTGAGCTTTTCGGTGAAAATGCATGACGCTTGTCTTATCTACCTTGTCTAGTACTTGATAATCTATTCGACTATTTGTCAATATGGAAAAAGTAGTTAAGTATGGCTGTCAAAATTGGCCAAGCCCAAATGACCCGCCTAATCCGCTCAAAATTGGGCTGGTTATTGACCTGTTCATTTTTTGAACTTAGCTCATCTTGACCCAACTCATCTCAACACATTTTAAGTTGGGCTAACTTTTAACCCAATATCCTTGAGTTACTTTGCCCATCTTAGAAATAATTTTTTTTTGGTTTGATATGTTATATGTGACCACAACAAAAGAAAAAACAAAGTCTTATTTTGTAATTATACAATTCATAAGAAGACAACACATATTAAGTAAAGTTTGAAAAAAGTTGGACGGGTTGGGCTATGACCCGAATTTTAGCCCATCTTGACCCAACCCATCTTAGCCCAAGTAAACTCAACCAATTTTGACCCGCCAAAAATTAACCCAACCCGCCCATTTGACACCCCTATAATTAAGCAATGAGTTTTTGAATAATAAAATATTATTTTCAAATTAATGTTTGTTGTATACTAATTTGTTTTCATCCTTTAAACCTCAACTAGTGATCTTTAGAACATGAAGTTGAAAAATTGGTCCGAGGAGTACATTTTAAGTGAAATAATAGTTTTTACTCACAAAATTTCTGCTCTATTTCTAAGTAAAATTTATGTTCAAACACAGTTAGCAATACCCAAATACATCTTGTTTAACTTTAACTTCAAATGCTCATTCTTTTCAATTTCAACCAAATATTGACCAAAATGGACCAATACCACTAATTATGTCAAAATACTTATATTTGGGCGCAACATGTCGTTATACTAATTTGACTAACTCATGCGTGTATTCTGATTATATTATTGGTGGAAAGACTTCAATTACCGTTCTATAAATGTGACAGAAAATTAATTTATTTTTGCTGGGTGACTGACAAATTTTTAAATACACATTTAATTATTGTTATAACCTCACATGGTAACTTGGGATTGTTTTGCTAGATCCATAAGTCGTGGTGGTGCATTTAGTTTCCCTGCTCCCTCTCCTCTTAAAACCATTTTTAAGAAGGAGAAATCTCTTTAAATACATATTCTGTAGCCTTGGGGTTTAATCCTAATTATGGTATTCGGGAAGACTCTAATTACTGTTTTGATTAATTTGATGGAATATTCTTTTTCTTTTGCCGGGCGATTGACATATTATCAAAAATGTACAACTATTGTTATAAGCTCGCTTAGTGACTTGAGATTATTATGGCAGATCCATAATTTGTGGTGATCTAGTTTCTTCAAACACTTTTTAAGGCAATGCACATATGGAATTTTTAAAGTAAATTATTGAATTAGTATTTGAACTAAAACTTAAACACAAATAATTAACACTCGAACCATTTTAACGATAATCAACCACCATCTTCGAATGTTTACCGTACCCATACAAGAACTTTTAAGCTTTCAGAATTGAAGAACAATGATTTTTCTTATGAAGAAAGAGAGTCGGAAAAGAAAAGGGAGTGGAAGGACATAAAGGTCATTTAATTTATCTATAAAATATTAAAATATTTATCTTTGCACTACTTATAATACGGGAATGAATAACAATCCCACGAAATTCTGAATAGAAGCCTATTTATTCTTCAAACGTCATCATTTTCCTTCAGTCAACTTATGATTTGGGCCTAAATATGACAATTCTAGTTCCCAGAAATATCGTAGAGATTTTGTTGGGTGAAATTTAATAATAGCCAGATTTACAACTGGTCGTTCAAAAATAGCCCAGTTTCAAAAGTAATCGAAATTTAGCCACTTTTTATGTAAAGATAAATCTGAGCGAAAACACTGTTCAAACCCCCGGAAAATATGCCAGTATATTATGCTGGATGGAGTTCCAGCATAAGTACGCTAGAACTCCAGCATAATATACTGGAGTTCCAGCAAGTATATCGGTCCAGCATAATATACTGGAGTTTGGAGCACCGGTGCTCCAGTCTCCAGTATATTATACTGGAGCCAGCAAAGTATACCGGTGCAACATAATATGCTAGAGTTCATACACAGGTGCACCGAACTCCAGTATATTATGCTGGACCGGTCTCTGTTGCAGCAAAATATTGGCTATTTTTCATTGACTTAGTAAACGCTGGCTATTTTTGAATGACCAGTCCGAAAATTGGCTATACCGTGCTATTTTGACGATTTTGTTGGACCTAACCCTACACTGTGCAAACGCAAAAAAGATCCAGTGAGTCATGGGCTAGCCTCTTCATTGCAAAACTAAGGCTTGCCCAACCACTGAACAATGTTAGTGGTGATTGTTGTGAGAGGGGTGACTTAATGTTTAACAAACTAAGGGTAGTTTAGTCTATTTAACACTAGGTAGTTAGGTGTCCAAAGTCGGATAGATATTTCTATAAATAGGGGTCATTTGTACAGTGTAATTTCAGTTTTAACAGAATCAGTTTCTGTATTTCTACTTCAGCTCATTCCCTTCTTCTCTTCCTTTTCTTATCAGCTAGGGTTTGCATAGCTCGATCCATAGAATTAACATGGTATCAGAGTCATAAGACTAGAAATCACTGGTCTCGTTCATCGATTCACATCGCCATTGGTGAATTTGTGAGATTCAGAAAATCAATCGAAAAGTTGAAGCCTCGTCAATTAAAGCAGAGTAGCCATGGGAGATATTGTTGACAACACAACGGCTAATGCCGCCACAGGTGTAGATGCAGGAATTGAAAATACTCTAGCTAATGAGGAATTTGGAGTTGATTTGCCTCACGATCATCCATTATACCTTGGACCGGCAGATACGAGTGGAGCACAATTGATCTCTTTTCAATTAACAGCTACTGACAATTACACTATATGGAATCGATCTATAAGGATAGCTCTACGAGGAAGAAATAAGCTAGGGCTGGTAGAAAGAACATGGAAAAAGGAAAAAGTTTGTGAAAATCAATGGGAGTAATGGGTGAGGTGCAATGTAATTGTACTCTCATGGTTGATGAATGTTGTAACTTCACAGCTCGTTGGAGGAGTGGTATTTGGATCCAGTGCACAGGCTGTTTGGGAGGATTTGCGACAGAAATTTGACAAAGTAGATGGATCTAGGTCATTCAATCTACACAAGGGAATCGCAATCCTATATCAAGGTACATCATTTTTTCCTGTTTATTACACTAAGATGAAGGACCTTTGGGATGAGTATGAAGCATTAGTCCCTGCTCCATGTGACTGTGAGAACACCAGAGACTATGTTGCCTTTATGAAGAGACAAAAAGTGTATCAATTCCTTATGGGATTGAACAACTCTTATGCTCAAGCAAGGAGTCAAATATTGTTGATATACCCTTTACCTACAGTCAATCAGGCGTTCTCTATGATTATGA